AGATAGATAGATAGATAGATAGATAGATAGATAGATAGATTTAGGTCTACAGAAATCACATAATAAGAAATCATTTGTTAAGTGCTTACTAAGGGAAATATATAGATATCTAGATATATGTATCATAGATATTATATACATTCTACATACCATATATACATATACACGCATATGTATTTATGTATGTATACATATATGTATAGTTACAGTTAATTAAATATCTATTTATATGTACAATGTTTCTATATTTCAAAGATATTATTTTGGTTCCTTTATTACCAAGATTTCTTCATCTGAAACTTTTATATATATGGAAAAATATTTTGGAAAACTCTCAAGGGAGTTCATGGTCAGATTCAATATCCCAGTTTGGAGGAAGGCATTAATGAAATGTAATGTAATCGACCTTTCAGAGTTGGTAAGAGTTTCACTCCACTCTCTCCAACAGGTCCAATTTTGTTAACAAGCTTTGATTCCCAACAGAGGCACCTACAGGAGGATGGGATAACTGGGACGAAAGCTTTGGGGGTTTGTTTGTTATTCTCGTCAACAGGCATAAGCTGTACTTTAAGTAAATGAGGGTATCCTCTTTCCTGAAGGGCGCTGGGCTGGCTCAGACAATAGCCGGTGTCTGCCTATTTGCAATTGGAATTGCCCCAGCTGGGTTCCAGTTCATCTGACAAAGTGAATTAGACTCATTTACAAGTGTCTCCCATGCCCCTTAATGAAAATTTCAAACAATCAGTTGGAATAGTATCTGAAATTAGAGCTTCTTGAGCAGCTCATTAACTTGGGATCTAGACAGAGTAAATGGGTCTGTGTGGAAATCAGTCAGATTATTTCCTCCCTGGGGTGTAGTACTGTGCTAATCAACTCATTTTCTCCCAGGGTACAACTAACAAGTTGGCCCCTTCTCTCCCTGCCCCCTATTTTTCATGGTTAATGAGCATGCCCAGCTTCTCTTCTTCTATTACCCAGAAATGTTAACTTAGAGACACTTTCCAGTGTTTTAATAGCTGTAAAGGAAAGCAGGAAGAGTAGAAAGATAAGGAAAGCAATCAGTCTTATTGTATAGGAAAAGGCCAAAAAAAGCTAGCAGTGAGAAGCACTACCAAGGATACCAGGGGTACAGAAGGAACCATTTGGGCAAGTAGCTGAGCCATTTGGGGATAACCTATTCTCAGAGTGATTACTTGTGCTTCTGAGTTGTCAATTGGTCACCTCCCATGTGGATCAAGTTGGTCACTTGCCCCTAAATATCAACCCCTCTGTAAATCATTTCACCATTATAACTTTATTCAGGTCCCAAAGTCTCATCAGGAGCCCTCAGTGAAATTCAAGACCCTCAAAGGAACAGTTTTACTTTAGTTAGCAGCTGATACTTGAATGAGATTAATTGACAGCCAGCTGCAAGGAAATTGGATGGACCTTTTGGTTTTCTTTATTCTTTTTAAGGGTATGGTGACCTTGAACAATTTTGTCTAGGGTTACCCTACTTGCCTCAGCCTTCATAAAAAAGGGATATATTCAAACTAATGTCCTGCCTTCCTACCTGATTAGGGCTTCCATTAGAGAGGTACTGCCACTCCCGCTGAGGTCTGAATATAGCTAATAATAATAGCTGACATTTGTAGAGGACATTAAGGTTTACAAAGTATTTCTAAACTGAAATGTTATTTCATTTGGTCCTCATAATTCCAGGAGGTAAGTACTGTGGGTCTTATTATCTCCATTTTACAGATAACGTAACAAAGGGCTTGGAGAGGCAAATGACTTGCCCAAGGTAACTTAGTGAGGAAATAGACTTAACTTCAGGTCCTTTGACTTCAAATCCTGTCGTCTTCCCATGATCCAATGCTTGAAAATTTCATAACCATTATGCCCAAAGGTATTTCTTTGTAAGAACACAAGAGTGTCCTCTGTGATTGATAGAATGAGCACACAATTTGGTGACATTTGTAGTTTTCTCAGTGATGAGATAGGATGGAGAGAATTCCAAATGTTTATTACCAGGTAGCTCTAAATGGTCCCATCTGCCGACTAAACTAGTACTGAGGGAAATCATAATTGCCAAGTCTTTTTACAAAGTGTTGGTTGCTAAACACCAAGTCTGATTTTGATCATCAGTAATGTGGACTTCTGAAGGAAATTTCTCGTTGTGTATAAATGTAGTTTCCTTACTTTTTCTCTTTCTGCTTTCTTTGAAATTCTCAGTTTTGTGTTTTCTAACTTGAAACTTTAAGAATCATTTTTAGTCCCTTATTTGAACCCAGTTTGTCAAAAACCTCTCTGGGACCTCAGGCCTGTCTGTACTTAACATAGTATATTTCTTTCTAGGAGTTAGATGATATGCATGGAAAACTACATTGTGAATGGTTTTTACAGATTCTAAACACTAACATAAGTTACTCTTGTATTTTCCTATATCAGGAAATAAAGATGGAGGAAGCTATGACCCACACAGGTATTCAGACTTTTTTATTCTCCCTGGCAGCTGCTTTCCCAATAATTGCATGATCCAGTCCATTTCAACTAATGTCTATTCCTTGCCATGTTGTACAGAGAAGCTCTAGCTTATGGTGCATGCAAGTTCTAACAGCATCCTACACTGCATTTTGTCATTGGTTTCAGATAAATCATTATGCCTTTAACTCCCCTCACTCACGGTAAAGCATCAACCAGCACACTTAACTGATTCCATGCTGATTTTTGAGAACTTTTAAAAATACATATATTGAACTACATGAAAAATGCATTGTTGTGGAGAACAATACTCATAGAGGGAACCAAAAAAATGAGTCTCTTTGGGGGGCTTCTCTAATTACTTGGGAGTTTAATAGCAGCTAGTTATCTGGAAAGATTTCATTAAATCTAAGTTAAAAGATATCTCTAGGCATAGGGAGTGATTAAAATTTTAAGAGAATTTTAAAGAGAAGGCTAAGGAATACAACAAGAAGATTCTAGATGTTACCACTTAGTAGTAAATCCTAGAAAGCAAAGAGTTCAAAAGGGTGTTGATGAGAAATATTGATGCCTAGTCCTAAGGTGGCACAGTAGATAGAGCCCTGGGTGTGGAATTAGAAGGATCTCAATTCAAATTTGGTCTCAGACACTTACTAGCTATGTGACCCTGGGCAAGCCACTTAACTATGTTTGCCTCAGTTTCCTCATCTGTAAAATGAACTGGAGAAAGAAATGGCAAACCACTCCAGTATCTTTGCCAAGAAAACCCCAAATGGGGCCATGAGGAGTTGGGAATGACTAAAAAATGGCTGAACAATAACAAAAAGGACAAAGATGGCAAAAGAAAGAGAAGGAAAGCAAGAGTTAGCATACCCAGAGAAAGTTTATTTACATAGGCTGATAGCATTTGGAGATGGAAGGGTCCTTTAAAGATCATCTATCCTATTCAAACCTGATTTTGACAAATGAGGGAACTGAGAACTAGCAAGGTTAAATGACTTGCCCAAAGTCGCCTTACTTGTAAGTAGCAGAGCTGGAATTCACATTCAAGTCTGATGATTCCTATTTCCACTGTATGTCCCCCCAGAGACATATACCCCACAGGATGACTCCTGTTTCCACTATACTATACTATTTTCACATTGTACCTGTAGAGAACAACCAGAAAATGCTGATGATATCACATTCCATCTCAGGAAATTGGTCTTTCCTAATTTTCCCTTCTAGAGCCTGAGTTCACCACAGACCTGTCACCCATGTACCCCCTTTGACTAATGACAACTGTACTGCACAACTCTGATAGTGCAGGGTCAAACTAGAATCTCACTGTAGTGCATTGACGTATAGTCAAAAACTTAATGAGTGTCCTTCATGTTGACTCCTTTAAGGAAAAATAAGAAATGTCTTCTAGGTCTGTTCTTCCTTTTTCTCAATTGACTTGCCATATTCCCTTCAGTTTTGTTTTTCCGTTCTTTTATTACTATTTTGGCCTCCTGAGAACCAGCTCCTCCACTAGAATCAAAGTCCACTGCCTCATTTTGTCACGGCAGTGACCTTGGCTATATCTTCAGAGGACATGCTCTAGGTGAGCCTAGCCCTACTAAAACTGAAGGGCTTCAAATACAGGCCTGGTAACAAACTTTGTGAGTTCACGGATGCTCAATTCCATAAGGCTGGCCAATAGGAAATGATCTTCCTTTTTCTTTTGGCCTGTCTATTATGACAAGGAGAGGTTGTAATCTGTGTTGTTATAGGACTTATGCTGATAAAAATAAGCCATCTTTTATGATAGTGAATTCAGAGAACCAATGTAGCCATGGCTCCAACTGGAAAAACTAAATGGCAACTGGAAGAGCTGAAGAGAAAGAAAGAAAACAAAAAGGAAGCAGTTTCTCAGTGCAC